ACCGAAGGTGGTAGTTGGCCGCTAGTGATTCCGGACCCGTCCTCGGTCATATTGCCAGCTTGGGAAAGGTTCAATTAGCCCCTAAGTAGATTAGGCTTACTTATGTCTCAGTTTCCCACTTGACGGTGCACCCCTCCTTCAAGGAGGACAAACATCCCAAAATGCTCTAGTATGTTAGAAGCTATAGTAATTTATTATCCACCGACTACAATTTCATATTAAATTCACTTTAAATTTATCACTATATATACACCATATTACTATATATACTGGGAATTTCATGTAAGTCGCAATATATGAATGCAGTAACACAGGCATTGGGTAATTTTGCAAAGGAAAAATGTTGCTTGGAAAAACGCTGAATAACAAATAAAACTAGAACTAACACTAGACTTAAAACTAGAAACTAGAACTATCACAAGACCTAGAACTAGAATCATTTGGGTTTAGCCGCACGTCTCTCAAGACGGCTAAACCCAAATGATTCTAGTTCTAGGTCTTGTGTTAGTTCTAGTGATAGTGCAATACTAGAACTAACACTAGACCGAAAACTAGAAACATTCGGATTTAGCCGCACGTCTCTCAAGACGGCTAAACCCGAATGTGTCTAGTTCTAGGTCTTGTGTCACTAACACTAGAACTCTAAAGACTACTCTGAAGACACACGGCTAAACCCGATACTTTCTAGTTCTAGTTCTAGTGTTAGTTCTAATTTTAGTTGAATAAAAATATGCAACTGGAACTAACATTAGATCTAGAACCAGAAACATTCAGACATGTTGCATTTTATGTGGGATAAAGTAAGTATGTACGCCCTGGTTTCTATGGAAATATATTTTTGTATAGTAGTATAACTTTGAAACAAATAAGAAATTTCCTTAATTATTTAGGATTTAGGAAATAGTATTCCGCACCTGTTACAAGGTTTGTTGATTACGTTTAGTTTTCGTTGAAGGATAATTGAGGTATGCTACTAAGCACTCGGAGATCTTATGTAGTACAAGACGGCGAACGTTGGGTCCTTTAAAACGTTCATTTAAGGGGATGGGGTCGTTTAACTGTTTAGTAGGAGGACGAATAACAATTGGATCCCGCACCTGTTACAGGTTTTGTTGATGGTATTTAGCGAAGTACGATTAACGAAAATGGTTACTTTGATTGCGGGTGTAATTAGGAGAAGTGGGCTAAATTGGCGATCATTAATCGTACGGGTAAGTGTTTATTAAAAATCTCGAGATGGATTTGCGGAGTGCGTGATTAGAAGGTGTGTCTCGGGAGGCGGCGGAAAGTGGTCCATTTGAAAAGTTCATGGTCCATTGGTACCGTTTCCGGCTGCTGCCCAGTCAATACAAATGGAGAGCGGGAAACCTACACCCAAAACCACTTATCCACTCGACCGGCCAGAACTTATAAACACGGAACCTTAGGTTTAAATCCTTCGGAAAAAGGACTCCAACCGGATCGGGGGCTCTCGATATCACATATCGCTTGTTAACGCTCGTCCTAAGCTACTTATCTTTGCTTATTTCCCCGATGTAACCGTTGGTCGTTATTACAGCTAAATCAAAGGAATTTTGAATAATTAAGGATCCCTTTTACTACTAACAAGATATCAAAACCATTTTCAACGTAATCTTCTATTATATATAATATTTAGAAAGTAAATGAAAAGCGAATAAAGAAAAAAATGTTTTATTTAAAAAAAGAAATGATGAAATTTTCCAAGATAGTCATCGTAAAATATAATGAAATAAGCGGGACCGTTTGTGGCGAAGCGTTTGCAGCATAAGTTGGAGTAAAATCTGGCTCAGCAGCCACGAAAAGTAGGGTTGGAGGGGAAGGATCGGGGGTATATATCCAATTGCTTTCAAACAGCCACCCTAATTAACACAATGTAATTAAATCAATTAAACCGACAGGGTCTGCGTTCGCATTTAAACTTTTGGGCGAGATAAAGGGCGGGTCCCAATCCGTCTTCCGGCGATTTCGCGGACAAATGAAGACGCCCCTTCACCTCCCCCCGAGAATGTCGTGAAGAGACAAGCGGGTATCGTTCGTGTGATACATGATAAATCATTCGCGACTGACGAGGAATAAATGTCGTCGAACAGCCCTTAAGCCCCGTAAACGCGTTAATAGCATTTACATAGGATAAACAAAGCCCGCTATTAATCTTATGTACTCGCGAACTGTTCTTCCTCGCAAATCCTTCGGAAGGCTTAGTAAAGCACAGCTACGACGTCTCACGTCTTAATGTACGCGTCGAAAACATATCGTCTTTCGTAGTCGTTTATTATCTGCCATTCGGTTATTACGAAAAAGGGTTGCCGTCCCCTTAACTCTAATAAAAGTCAAAAGAGGAGTTTTCTAATTTGTCCCGCAACACCTTTAAGAAGAATATAGATGAGGTAATATCCGCGAGGTTTTCTTAATCTCCCGCAATAACTAAATACAACGCTCATTTTGCGCCCCCGTAATGAACCACTTTTGAGCAGGAAACAAGAAATCATCAATTTCTGAGCGCGCTTTTCACCTTCAAGGTGGTCGTCTCACCGTTCATTCCCTCTTCTCTCCCGCCCTCTATTAATCATAACCCTCTACCTACGGTAAATTTACTATTTTCACCGACGCCAGTTCATAATTCACGCCGACACATTTCTAAAATTCAAATTGCGCCGTCGACCGATCCCACGAAAATTAAAAGCAAACAAATTAAACAATACCCGTGAAAACTAATTTTTCACAATTACAAAAGTGCACACACAAAACTCCTCTTATTGCCAACGTAATCAATTAAAGGTTTTCGACACCCATTATTTAACAACCCGGTAATTGTTCGTTTAATTATTTAAAAATTCGTTCCAACTTTTTTTTTCAACGCGATAGCTACTCCATCTGTTATCAAACAAACTCTTTATCTACTCACCATATTCCCATTCAAAATGGTATCCTCATTTCCTGTAGATTCACATTCAATGCAATACTGTAACAAACATTTATATTATTAAATTTCTGTATATATAATATATGTATTTATATAGAATATATATGTTATGTGATATTCATTTTATTAAATTAATAAATTTAATCGATATTTTTGTTTTATATTATTAATTATTAGTATTATAATGATGTTTTTGTATGTACTTGTATATATTCACTCAAGTTCACTTGTGATGTTGATTTTATTAGAATTAGGAACAGTTATAAAAAAATGGTGTAGTTGTGCTTTTCATTTAAAGAGGTCGCCTCATATTAATTATAAAAAATTTAAATTTATTACACATTATTATATTTTTTATATTAATGAAAAATGTTGGGTAAATTTATATATTAAATGGGTATTAAATGTTCATAATGTCATTTATGGTAAACTTTGATAATTTTTATGATTAAGTGCAACTATTTTACAACCCCAAATGAAACATTTAAATACTTTTAATGAAACATTTAAATAATATAAACAAGGTGAGAGGCGCTATCTATTAATGGAAGCTGAAACTTCGATGAAACACTTAAAAATCCCTTTATATAAAGGGATCTGAAAATGTAGGTCAATCTACCTACTCCTGAAATTTACAAGAACCAGCTTGGAGTGTCGCCTCTGTATGATCAATGATTCAAATTACGATGTCATGAAACTAAATGTAAACTAAGTTTCTTGTTACATGTCCTCAAAGAAAGTTAACGCAAGAAGTTTGTATACCATTGCAGGTAAAGTGGTCTTTTTGACTGATATGCAGCAAAAGTTTATAAATATTGTAATGTTTTTGTGATGTGGTCAGGAAAATGACATTACTAAGTTTAATAATAAATTGATTTTTATTAAATTGAAAAATTAAATATTCAAATATAATTGTCGAATTATGTCTCAGGGTCAAAAGCAGGTTCTGGCAACACTGTCCAGACCACTGAGGTCTTATATATAATCTAGAGTGCGTATGCTGTTGTCCCCACCACGCCTAAAATGAAGCCAGAAAGGTCGCCATGTTAGATGTACCAACTTAGCGGGAAATTCTAAATTCTTATATATACTTATGCAAGAATTTACATTATTATAAACTGGAAAGTCAGAAAATAATAACCAAAACAAAACATTAACTTTTTATTGATAAATAATTATTAATTATATGATAAAAGAACTTAATAATTTTTAGCCACAACCCTTATAATTAACATAAACTAAGAAGAAAATATTTAAAGCAATTCTGATTGATCACGTTAACCTTTGCTTATAAATAATTGTTAGTTTATTTAAAATAAAACTGAACATTCCTTAATAATAAACTTTACTTGAACTTCAATTGAAGACCTCGGTGCAAGAAATGAGTAGCTTCATTTATCAAGAGAAGAAGTTGGCCCCTTCTTACATCGAGGTCTTCAATTGTTAATTCCAAGTCAAGTAACCAGAAACACTTTATGGACTGTTGTGAATAATCGTCCAACCTACCAAATTATAAAAAACATATGTGATACGAAAAGAATTCGAAAACTTTCATCAAAAATCAAATTTTAATAAAAATAACAATATGTTTATGAGAATTGTGAGGTTATTTATTATTATTATTATTCTTCTACTGGTGGGGTTTTGGAAATGTGAGGTTATAATTGTAGGTACAATAGAGACTTGAAACTATAGCTAAGTTCAGGTCGGTACATCCAACATGTCTGACTTTCTGATTACCCCCACCAGCATCGCATACGCTCTCTAGATTATATATAAGACCTCAATGGTCCAGACAAACATGCGCACAGTTTAAGGTGAAATGTAGTCAACAAAATTAACGGAATTTACTGAATATAAGAAACAAATTCTCTAGTTTAAAAGTAATATTTATCAACTCGAATATTGTTATGGATTTAAATTCCGTTATGGTAAAATATAGCGCCATCTGTGAATAAAAGGTAAAACTAGAATAATTAGGCTGAACGTACACATTATAATTTGGTTAGAAAATCTAAAAAAGTGAAATAGCAAATAATTTCTTATCGCTTTCAAATTTTCATATGGCTTTAGTTGCGTGTATTACCTCTTCCGATGAAGAGGTTAAGTGGAAATTGGTTGAAAAGCGAATGAAAGAAAATTTTTTTTCAAATGCAGTGCAAGGTAGGCCTAAAGCATATTGTTTTGTTGTTTAGTAACTGAAGGAGAAAATAATTTTAGGAACTTTAAGGCCTCTTTAGTGACTTTTTTCGTCCAAGCGACAAACTTAACTATTTACAAGAAGTATTTTTTTATTACAATGGATACTCCTTACTGTTTATGCGGACAGCCCTATAACCCAAATATTTTTATGATACAATGCGACCTTTGCAAAGACTGGTACCATGGAAGGTACGTTTCTGTTTTTTTCTGATATTCCTGCATATTATTCCTTTTAATTCAGACAAAAAGATAACCTAACAAAAGACCTTAACAATATCGTTTTATTTAATATATTATTTCTTCCACAAATCAAAGTTTTTAATGGTTTTTAGTTGTGTCAACTTCCAAGAACACCTGGCCATAGAAATAGACAAATACCATTGCCCCAGATGTACACCCATATTTGGACCTTCAATAAGTAAGTTTGTTTATATATATATACTTGTATATGTAGCTTACATATATAGATTATTATATAAAGCCTTTATGACTTAATCAAAAAATTCATATTCTGTTATTAATAATGACTAATCATTTAGTATTACAAATTTGCCAATTATCACTTAACCTTAGTTACCATATTGTTTCTTATCAAGGTTGTTGAGTATTCTGAAAACCATTTTTCCGATATCTGCATTTCTACCATTGTTACACACTGTTATGAATTAACAATAGGTAGTTATAACTTTTATACGATTTGCGTCACCACTCACCAACTAAATAGCACTACTAACTCTTTATCAATCAAAGCCAAAGTTTTGTATATAAAATTTGTTTATTTAATGTAACAATAAGAATAAGATAACAATTTGTTGATGAAACAAAAATTTTCTTTCAGATAAACCTTGGAAGAATTATCACAGACATGACTTTTGGGATGAAAACGCAACGGAGAGGCCGGTTCAAACGGGAACGGCTGTTTTTATTAAAGAGTTACGAGCCAGGCATTTTGCGAGTGAAGGTGAAGTAGTTATCCATATGCGCGGCCAACAATTAACAGAGACTTTCCTTCAACAAAGAGGGTTTGATTGCCCCATCGTCATCGATGGGAAAGATGGATTAGAAATGAATATTCCTTCGGATACTTTCAGCCTTTACGACGTTGAATCATACATCGGTGGCGATCACGAAATGGATGTCATTGATGTGACCCGTCAAACAGATGTAAAAATGAAATTGCGCGATTTCGTGGCGTATTTTAATAGTTTAAATCGAATGCGGGTTTTCAATGTTGTTAGTTTGGAATTTTCTGGCACAGGATTATCACGACTAATAGATGCCCCTTTAGTTGCGAGAAAATTAGATTGGGCAAACACAGTTTGGCCCTACGATTGTACGGTGAATCGACCTCAAGTCCAAAAATATTGTCTGATGAGTGTTAAAGATGCTTACACGGACTTTCACATAGATTTCGGGGGGACCAGCGTTTGGTATCATGTTGTTTGGGGCGAAAAAATTTTTTATTTTATTAAACCAACGCCTGCTAATCTCACGTTGTATCAACAGTGGATGACGGCGACGAATCAAAGTGAAACATTTTTTGGCGATCAAGTTGATCGATGTTATAAAGCAACTTTAAGACAAGGACAAACAATGGTGATACCAACAGGTTGGATACATGCTGTTTTAACCCCTATTGATTCATTAGTTTTTGGCGGGAATTTTTTGCATAGTTTAAATATTCCAATGCAATTACAGTAAGTAACAAAACATCACAACACATTTAAAAAAAAAACTTAATTCGTTTTTTTTAAACAGGGTTTATGATATAGAAAAGAAAATAAAAACGACAGAAAAGTTTTTATACCCTCATTTTGAGATGATCAACTGGTTTGCTGCTCAAAAATTATTAACACAAATAACTGAAATTAATTCGGAAGAGAAACGATGTCCTAGCACTTTATTAACCGGTTTAAAATCATTACTTTCCTCGTTAAAACAATGGAATACAGAGAAAGATGTTGGTCATCAATACTTATAACCAAAAAATTAAGATGATTTATAAATTATTTTTTTAGTATAATTTAAGTAGTAGAGAACAAATTCCCATAAGTATAAACACAACAAAACTACTAAAGGATATTTCCAAAGAAATAAGGCACGCTGAAAGATTTATTAATTCGTTGAATCCTCCCAAACCAGAACGGGAGTCAAAGAGGAAACGAAAAAAACCCGTTAACAAAGACTTTGTTGATTATTCTTTAAATACAAAGAATGATGTAATTATTTTATATAAGTATAATCTTTAAATTGATTCTCATTTAGAGTAGGGTATTATTTATGAATTATTTTGATTTAAAAAAAATTTATCTATTTTAACATTGGCCAAAATACAAATTATAAGAATTAATAATTGGGAACTAAGATAAGTTATTAAGATAAGAATGTATTGGTGAGTACACGTGCGAAACGGCTGTATATATTATACAGGCTGCCCATTATGTATGGAATATAGTATATATCTTTATAGATATCAACTTTATAGCAAAACATTTTATACAAAACTCGTTTAATATTTTATTTATTAACGAATAATACTTAAATTTTTTTAAATGGCAATGTATTCTTTCTTTATGCTCATTTGATAGAGATTACTTTTCTCTTTACGATGGCGTAAAATTTTTGTATCCTTACATCAGAAAATTTTTGAGAAAAATGTTAAAATTGTTTATTAATAAAAATTAATAACATTAATCTAGATATCCGAGATCGTCAAGTACCTCGAATTATTACTGCAAATTAAATTTACATACAAAATAAAACAAATAAACGAAAAATTAGTGTACATCTCCAATAATTCGAGGTACTTGACGATCTCGGATATCTAGATTAATGTTATTAGTTAAATTTTCTTAATAAACAATTTTTAAATTTTTTTCAAAAATTTTCTGATATGAGGGCACTAAAATTTTACGTTATCGTAAAGAGAAAAAAAATCTCTATCAAATGAGCCTAACGAAAGGGTACATTGCCATTTAAAAAACTTCAAGTGTTATTCGTTGCTCATTTGTTTTCTGAAATAAAAACAATTGAATGCTGTCTTATTATGGCAAATAAAATATTAAACAACTTTTGTATAAAATGTTTTTTTATAAAGTTGATACCTACCAAGCTATATACTATATTCCATACATAATGGCACCCTGTATATTATAGACAAGACGTTTCAACTCACGTTCGAAACTTTTATGAATATATGTATTGAAGGCAGTTTTGAAGATATATTGTGTAACACTTTTGCTCTCAGCTGCATCAATGTCGAGAAAAATATGAAAATTATAAGAATTTATATTTTTTTGTATTTTTCCAGATATTGACGCATCCGAGAGCAAAAGTGAAAGACAACAATATTGTTAAAAATAATATTTTCTACAACTTTCACTCTAAAAGTTTTTTTGTAATATGTGCCAAATTCCAAGCATTACTATCAACAGTATGTAAAACTACAAATTCAGCGAATCCTCATATTTTCGTATTTTTCTCGATATTTACACATCTGAGAGCAAAAGTGAAAGAGAGCGATATCGTTAAGAATGAAATTTGCTTCAACTTTTGTTCTAAAAGTTTTTTTGTAGTATGCTCTGAATGAAAAACTTGTCATCTTTTATTAGAAAATTTTGAAAAATATTTGTGTTTGTACATACCGAGAAACGCAAATGACTCAACATGAAAAACATATTCATGGACATGATGCGTGCCACATGTGGAAAATAACCGCGAAAATCAATTAGTCATACGCGTTTTCTCGTGGTACTATGTATATTCATTAATTTCATAAGCGCAAATAAATAAGAATTCGTTTTTAATCATAAACTCTGAGTGATGTACTACCTGAGTGTCGATCATTAAAATATGATGACTAAGAAAAGGAAAAACGATTAAAAATGTAAATACTTTTTAAATTTGATATTTCATCGTGTTGAACTTACTGAATATAAACATGCTTCTGAAATAATCACTTCACTATAAGTGTTATTGTCACTGTTGGATATGTTTGACTGAGCCTTTATTTTTGTAACATAAATATAAACACGATTCTGAATGAGAATTTATTTAAAGATGCAGCTTTAAAAAATATACATGAATTTTTTTTTGATAAACATTTTAGTTTATTGTTGATATACCGGAAGTGCCGGCAACAACCCCTATTAAATTAACGTTACCAAAACCTGCAATATATCCTTACGAAAATTCATTGAATACCCAAGATATACGCAGTACATTTCTTGAGGATAGTTGGGGAAGTAGTATATTAAGTAGAGAAGATGGAAATTCACAAAGAAATTGTGTTTTAAAATTAAAATTAGGGTAAAAAAAACAAATATAACATAATTAAATGAAATAACATTTTCTTGTAGTTCAAAAGATGGTATTCCAAGTGGACCGGATTCAAATCTATCCCTTGATTCCGCGTTAACTTTTGGAAGTATGAGTAAATCAGTTTATGATTTTAATGATGATAGCGATAGAGATGATGATTGCTTTAATTTGAGTATTGATGAGAGTCCACGGAAAACAAAAAAATCGAGCGGATCGTTAAAAATGAGACTACCAAGTAAGTTATGAAGTAAAAAAATGAAATAAAATGTGAATTTTGAGACGATTTGTTTAGATAGTTGGGGTCCGAAATCGAAAAAACGGGATGATCTTGAAGATATTCCTAAAAATGGTATTGAATCCTTATTAAAAGCTTCAGCTTTAACAAATAAATTTATGGAGTAAACACAATAATTTATTTTTGCGACGTTTTGGTGTTATTTTTTTAAAATTTTTAGTGATGGAAGTGGACGAACGTCGCCGTCAACACAAGAAGCAATCGCGGGAATGTTATCTATAAGCCAAACGTTTATTCAACCTGGGAGAGCACCCGCTAGGTCTCGAAAATATCGTTCGTTATCAAATACACTTTCTGAAGAGGAAGATATTAATAATGTTCACCAAGATGAAGATTACAGTAAATAAATTTCTTAATTTGCAGCCAAAAATTTATTTAATAAACACATTTTTAGTTTATCCATCTTTGGATAATTCTGATGATGAAGATATACATATCTTTAAGCCAAGAGGTCGATCAAAGATCGATGAGGCTTGGAATCCAAAAGCCCGTGTCGGGCCATTATTGCCGAAAATGAACCGTCCAGCGCGTGAAGGTACCAAAAAACAAGCCGTGGAAAAAGTCTTAGAGGCGGCTGCTGCAAAAAGAGCTTGTGAAAGTCCTGAAAAAGTACTCTCACAATTTTTTTGATTCACAACACTGATTTATTTATGATTTTTTGATTGTTTTTTTAGAGTCCAAAAAGACAGTATAGACGAAAAAAAATTAAACCAAAATTAACGGAAAAAACTACGTCTTCTGTACCAAATACAACAACCATAGCGAGTACATCTACACATGGTGATTATTAAATATACAGTGTATTTGATTTTAGTTGCGACAACTAAAATCAAACACACTGTATGGATATATTTATTGTTGCTTTTTCTTCTGATGATTGTGGTGATTTTACAGTAGTGACTACGCCTAGACCTCGAAAAGGAATGAAAACTGCTAAACAGCGCCTAGGAAAGATTTTGAAAATTCACAAAATGATCCACTGATTTGTCCACGTCGAATAGTTGAAAAAAAAAACTTTAGAACAATTATCACTGAACAGTATTCTTTTTTTTTTTTAATATTATATTAGTTGTGTTCTTGTTGTTAATCTTTACAGTGTTTATTTTTTATTGAAATCATGGGTAGTTATTGTTAATTTGAATTATGTATGGTTTAGTTTCATTTAATTTTGTTTTTTAATCATGTCCGAATCTCGTTATAACATTTCTTTTTCTTATAACATTCCAAATTCAATGATTTTATTAGTTAACTTTTTTATATCGTGTCATGGAATTGATTTTAATTAATATAGTTTTACTGTGATTTTATGTCATTTCTCAATAAAAACAAGTTTTTTAATAAATAATCGAATATATACATGTTAACATTAGAAATTAAGATTAAAACTGATAAAATCACCTCCTGATTGATAAAAACAACATACCCGTTACACGAAATACACACTTTAATATTATATGTACAACGAAAACAAGAAAAGGAAAAGAAATTGAACAACATTCGGCCCCCGGCGTGCAAAAAAAGATTTTGCCTTAACGGTGTATTTATTATATTAGCTGGAATTTTCTGCTGTGATTTTAAGAAAAAAAATAACATTAATATTCATAATGTATGTGTTCATATGTTCGTATTTGACGATCATTTTTTTGCCATTCATTGAGATCATCTTTCATTTTAACCGGAATAATATAGCTTCAATTCCAAAATGAAAATAAGTATGTTAAAATAATTAAAAATATCATTCACTTGTACGGAATTATACAATTTTTCGATAAACCCACAATGTAGAATTTATAAAAATAAAAAAGTATTATAATTTTTTATTCAACTCGTTTTTTTACTTGGTCCCAACCGTTAATTATAATTATTATAATCTCTGTTTTAGTTGTTCACATTTTGCGGTATCACACGCACTTCCGGGTTATGTTCCACCACGACTGTCCCCACCAATAAATCGTATACGGTTCGATTATGTCTTGATATGAACATACCAAAACACATCGGAAACATGACTAGACCCAATAGTATATTCTTAAGTATGGCTCTCCAAAATGATTTCGCCCATCCCAAACTACCAGGATTTACCAACAATACAGGATTTTCATTTTCATTGATTGTCACCACTTCTTCAGTGCAATAAACACGAAGACCCAATAAAAATTTTCCAGGTGATGCTGGTTCTGCACCATGCAACCAGTAAGTCTAATAAATATAAATTTTTATTGTAATTTTTTTTTCTAGTAATATATGTACATCAGATGTGTGAATCATTTTTTTTTTCTTTCCTATACAGTATATTAATTTGATTGCTTAACACATTTGATGCTTAATGTAGTAATATACAATAATTAAGATATTTGTTCTGACAGCTTACATATATAATTTCATACACTGTTTATCTTCTCCTTTAAAAGTTATTGCTTAGAACTCACCTCTTACCATTTTTGCTTGTTAGAACAACTCATTCACCTCATCACTCTTTCAAACACTTATTATTATTATATACTGTAACTCCAACTGACAAACAACTCATTATTACGCTTTCTATTCTCTCCTTTCATCTCCCACACACCTCAATTTCAGCGTCATTTTCATGCCCTTTAACTATGTGATAAAAGAATTTACTCCCTTTAACCTTTCTCCCACAATCATTGGATTTATTCCCCACCCACTTTTTATGAAATAACTCCTGTGTGGGTGTTATACCTGATATTACACAACCCCTTTCGCCCTTTGAATAATATTTATACCTCCATCAATTTCATGTTAACTCCAAGGATTGAATTAATTTTTTGATAAGTTTGTAAATTCACATTTCTGATGTACATTATATCAATCTTAATAATTAAGTACCTCATAAATACAAGCAAGTACACGATATAGTACTTCCAAAACAGCAAGTTCTGCAGAAACAGCAGCAACTTTTTCAGGATTTTCCAAAATAGAAATTAACTCCTCTTTGTCAGCAAGAGGAAAGCTAAAACTTGATTGATTTTATTTCAATAAAAATTGATTAATCCACATTTATTTGCTTACTCAAAATTGTAAAAGAGTAGAAATGTAAGGTAAAGTTTTAATGTAAATAGTAGAATGAAATCGATCGTTTCTGCTGCGAATCGTTTCCATAACGGTGGGATCACAAATTGAATCAATCCAACACGATTTGGAGCTAAAAATAATTATTGATAATTATGCTTATAATGATTATGTTGGATTACATACCAGGTCTTTGATTTGATAATCTCACAACATCTTGAAACGCTTGATAATTTTGTTGTTGAACCGTTTTAGCACTTTCAATCCATTCTCGTAAACTTTGAATGTAATTATTAAGTTCATTTAGAGTCAGATTGTTATCAACGTCCCCGTCCGTCTTCATATTGACTAATATTATTTATTTCGTTATATACCCAGAATATAACAATACCATTTTCGGCCAAAATTTTAGATTTTTACCAACACAGTCAATTTCACTTTCGTGTTGTCAAAGAAAAGTGAATGAACCATTTTTTCATGTATTAGTAGTAAACTTTTTATCAAACACCTGATTCTTACAATTTCAGCGTTTTATTGAGTTATCCAAACATAGATGGCGCAAACATCCTATAAAATATGTATTCGTCATGAATTTGACGTCATGAAGGTCTTGAAATCATTTTTTTCGAAGTTATTAAGAGCGATATTAAGAGATACCAGAGGTTGTGGGATAATAGCAATAATGTTTAGAGATATTGATATTGATTAATGATGCTAAAGGAAATAACGTTAAGAGATATCATCCAGTACATGTAATGGAATTAACAAACAGTATTGGAAATTATTAATTACTTTAGGAAGCTTACTCCAGGAAAAATTTTTTATATAATGAAAATCTCAGACTATCATGACGTCCATCCAATATAGAAGATATACAAAGTCGAACAACCTTACATGAATGATACAAGAATATTTGTGAATGCAAAATGAAACTTAACCTTGAAAGTGGTTTCAACATTGAAATAAGGTTTTTAATCTTAAAATTATTTTTATTTAATATAATGAAAAGTAAAAAAAATTTTGAGGTGGGTTAAAAATAAAGAAACTTATCTGATCGGTCTCATCTAAAAAGTCGACGTGCTATTTTCGGGCTGGAGTGGCCAAAACATCATTTGAATTCCTTTCTTGGGTTTTTATTAAGTTGCAAAAAAAGGCAAAGAAGATAAAGAGGACCCATGGCGCGACCGGGGTTTCACATAAATGGGGCCCGCCCAACCAAGAACCCGGTTTGGGTTCTTAATGAATATCTCATTTTAAAACGCCATAAATAATACTTGAGAATATTAAACCGTTGATTTGGCAAATAACACCCTCTCCGCGGGATATTATATGCCTATTTCGGACCCGTACGAGATAATCTTTGATATCTTATATCTTTTAATTTGCATTAATTTTATTTTAAATGTTGTATTATGTAATTCAAGGTCCTATTGTACTAGATTCAATTTCAATTGTGGTTAACAAAATATTTTTTTTTAGTAGATGTAAATCTTTAAAGAGAATATTCGGTATGCGCTGTTTGATTTATGTTAGAACCAAGTGAAAGAAAGTGTTATGATTGTCAATTGCCTTGGAAACAGTTAGACATAGTCTCTTGGTCTAACCCACTTACAGCGACGTCATAATAACGCATTCTTAGCGCTTGCGCAGCGCAAATCAAGAAAGCGCGGACCTACTAAACCTTTACTTGCCAGTCTCCGTGCGACTGTGGAGTTTGCGCGCTGTTTGTACTCTGTAATTAAGTGACAGAGCATTTCGCAATCATTCGATTTTTTTTCTTGATATTTTTTTGTGAAAATGTGCTGGCTGTAAACGATCCATCGATTTGTTGGATTACCTTAACGAGGATATCAAAACTTTTTATAAATTAGGTAAGAATAACTTGGAAATTAAGTTTAGAATAGTGAATTTCGTGTAGTATGGGAAGATTAGCACAATTTCGAAAAGAAAAGTAGGTTTTTACAACCCGTTTGTTTAAAATCACTTGTAGTAGATAAGTCGCTTCGATGAAAGTAATGCGTATTGGTCGATACTTTCTAAATTGACGATATGTGCGTATTATAATGTTTGGAATTTTTATTCTTTGGATATTGTTGCTGGTAGTAGAAAGCCAATGTACTTTAGGAGTTCCTTTATTGTTATGCAAGCCGTCGAGCCCATTTTCATATTATAAGGACTTGGGTCTTTTCGAGAATATTGAGCAGTGGGTAGTCAACGATAATGGTCCTACCTACTACTTCACGGTTAACAGTTATATAACACACAAACAAGAAACACCGCCACATAAAAAAAAACAATCTTACAGTCCAAGATTTTATTTTGATTCTCCGACGACGATGCTATTTTCGATACATTGTTGAGTCTGCGAGAGTTGATTCTTCGTGGGGGGAACGGCTAACTCCGGAGAGCTCTATCTGGCGCAATATCTTTCACGCTTCTACCACTCAACTCTCCGGGCACGGCCAACAGTCCGAGATTGCAGGGCCATGTCCAACGCCTTCTTGCAAACGAAAAACACGTGAGACAAAACCGCGAATGTGACGGCACATTGTGTTGGCAGTTCCAGAAAACAGGTTCTCGAATTCTATATTAGCTCGTCCGCAAATCGTCCGGCGACGACGTTAAGCGGGGTTTAACGTCCACGTTGGGGCGGTTTCATTCTTTCCGTTTTCCGTCAACTCTAAGCGGTTTTATCAAATTCCTTAAAGGTCATTGCATAATCTTACTTTTACTTTTACTAAGATATTATTACTATTTTCTTAATATATATATATAATCAAATGAAATTGTCTTAATGTGACTCCGTTATTGGATTTAGTACGTTACATTTCTTGAATATTGAGTAGTTAATACAGTTATACTATTGTCTCATTTTCGGTTATTCCGAGTTAGTCGCTTAATCTACCGTTGAAGCTTTTTTCTTTTTTCAAGTTAATAGATATTTAATCTATTTAAAATGATCGTTTCGTGTTCCCCACCTAAAGAAACGGAGGAATTCATGTTGGCGGGCACGTATCGAATCCTCCGTGTCATTTCTCGCAAGAACCATTGAGTAATTTCGACCTTTCGAAGGATTTCTTGCGAGTAGTCTCCGGTATTTTTCGTGATTCACCGGAGTTCGGGCGGTTTTTTCACAAAGCTGATCCGAAGGTCGGCGGTTTTTGTGCTTTTTCGATCAACATTTAAATATTGGTTGCAGATCCGTCCGTTTCGATTCATTATCATGGTGTCGCGAAGGAAGATTCTGTCTAGATCGCGAGACGATCTTCACATGGATACGACGTTTCAACCCCCGGAAGAGGAAGAAGATGTGTGGTATCAAAAGGACAAACTTTATAAGGTGAGTATTTTGAGAATTTGTATTCTTTTGAGTGTTAAGAATGCATAGTTTAATAGAAAATGTGCCAAGTAGCATGGTTTGCAAAGCATACCAATTGCTTTTGAAATAGTTTTGACTTTAGAAAGTTAATTTCTAGCTCGAGCAACAATGGCGGCCCATTTTGTAACGTAGTTATTGAGGTATACCCATAAGCGACTATTAGAGCATGTTAAGAAAGAGTTTTTCCGGCGAATTGTGGAAGTTTGCGAGGAGGGACGGCGCGGGGGAGTCTGGGAGGTAGATATGTAACCACAGAGCCTACCTTCACGCTAATTTATGCCGAGTTTCTCGCCTAATCCACTATTGAGATCTGAGCGAACGCATGGTACGGCGTCGCGTCGAGTCTCGCAAATGTTTCTCCTTTCGCAACAAAGTGAATTCTGCGACATTAATAAAATTTACAAGCAGGGGAATGTCAGGGGTCAAACGGTTCGCGCCGTCCGTTGTAGGCGCGGTCGCGGCGACGAGAATTTCAATTTCGAGCCGGTCAATTTCGATGAATACGTGCGTGCGAGAATTTTAAATCCAAACTCGGCCGTTCTCGACAGTACACCACGTACAGCTTACCTAAAGTTCAACGACACCAACGTCAACCGCTTTGTATTCTATATAGACACATAAAGTGATCTTACCACTTCATTTTAAAATTAAAAATTTTTAAAGTATCAAAATCTTTTGCATAAAATGCTTAAAAAAAAATTAATAAGATCGATATTGTGAAAGTTGCTTTTTACCTGGTCGACCTCAGGTTCTTACAAAATGTCAAGAACGTTATCTGCTCATTACCTACGCCGTTACAATAAGAACGGTATTTTAAATCGTTCTAAACTCCCGATCGTGTTATATAAGCAAAGAGATTTTGCGGTGTGCTTTGTTATTTTTTATTTTACACCGACATAGACATACACACCATTACTGCTACGCCACTGCCCCTCGAACGCTCTTGATCCGATTGGTTCCGTCCTCGCGTTGAAGAATAAGCGACACCTCCGAGTGAATAAATCAGTTTCACGACAATAGGTACAATTTAGTGCTGAAACCTTGATTTATTAGAATTTAACTATTCTCGTACAATAATAACCCTTACGTGGAGATGTCTTAACACCTCTCATTTGATAAATATATTTTTTGAAATTAGTTCTGGATTAATTTTAATTTGCTTAAGTTGGATCATAAAGTATAAATTTAACTCTCATTTAAGTGCGCTACCAGTTTGAGAGCGCGCAAGATTTTTGAACCTGGGTCATTCACTCGCAAAAAGGCAACGAAGACGTTCTGAAGAATTCGAGTCATTGATAAAGGAGGATTGCCCTCGAGTTCTTTCTCGGCGCCGTTGCTAAGATGAGAGGCGTCTTTTGTGGCGATCGACGGTTGACGTCTTCGAAATGTAACATTCAGTGTCTCAGAATTGAAGCCTCGGGCCGCGAAGGTCTTTGTAAGGTCGAGTATACATCAATAATGACTCGATTAAAATATTAAAAGATATGACGAAAAAACTAAACATTCCCGAAAATACCCGATGACGTCATTGCGATCTTTCAAAATGAGAGAGTTAAAGTTGAAAGTGCGAGTGAATCAGTTGATGATCCTACTAAAGATACAGTTAAGAGCTAACGTGTAGGTAATTATAGAATACTGGTTGCTTTTTTTCTCGCACAACAATTTGTAAATAGCTTACGGGTAAAAATCCGTTACTTTGGACGACCTTGCGTCCTTTTTAAATATTTCTATTTTCCTACAAATTAATTAATATTATTTATATACAACGCAGTTTTTGCACCTGCAAAATATCGAAAATAAAAGTGGTAACAGGCGATCTCGGGCTAAAATGTCAACCAACTTTAGTGAAAGTTTCCCAACTCGTTCTTGGCGTATCTTGAATTTCACAAAACGCGCCGTCCCTGCCGCCAAACCGGCCAGAACTTGTTTTTACGTACGACCTGAGTATATGAGAAATTGGCGTGAGGACGTTATAAACGACGTTTTTGAAAATATTTCGACGCTTGAGGCTACAACAAACCCGATTTGGAATTCGATTCCTATTGCAGTCTACAAACCGGATTTATGTATTCTTTTGTTGTTAATAAACCTTCCTTGAAATATTTATAGGCGATCAACAATCTTCGTTCCATTATTCGCATGTATATGTTTTATTTTCAGGATCATATCCAAGAAGTATTGGATAAATGGACGCAAATAGACGATGAAATTTGGGCGAAAGTTATCGTTTTGGAAAGAAATCGTAGGGTAGCAAAAGCGTATGCAAGAGCTCCAGTTTTGACAGTAAACGGTTCGGATGACGGTTTCGATGGTTTTAGGTAAGCAAAAAAGCCAATTACAATTCCTTTTAAAATGACTATTGCACCAAACGCGTATACTCTTAGCTGTGCGGTTCTTTTGGTCGCACACAGACCGAGCGAGTGAAAGTGGCTCGGCGTAAAGGCCACGTGCAGGAATGGCAGAAAAATCGTTTCGTTTTGGATGGTTTCGATTTTCTTCGGGTTGTGGCGACGACGATCTTTACGGCCATCCCTTTCGTTCTTTACTATAAGTTGAGAACCGAACAAAATTACTCCCATCGCATAAATACCACCTATATTGAAATAATCGCGAACTACTCGAGATGTGGGAAACGGTTGCGAAACGAACTCGAGGTTGCCTTTCTAATGTCTTAGCCTACACAGAGACCGAGCCATGACGATTGCGTTGTCGTTGTCTACAGTTCCAAAACAATCATTCTCAAACCGAGGTCTTACAAAAATTTTATCAAAACTTTATACTTACTTGGTGATATAAGATAACATTGTGGTGTGATTTTCAGAAAAAAATTTATATAGCAATGTGAAGGACGAAACACAATATTATTTATTATTTAATACAATTAGAAAAAGTTGATTTTTTGAAAAATTTTTATGGAACTTTCACCAATTAATAATTAGTCTATTTTTTAATGAACAACTCAATTTTGAAATATTAGTGTTTCTTCTCTTAGTTCTTCCAATCAATATATAGGATTATATTTGTATACACACAGAACCGGTTTCGGGCATTAGATGATGATGAAATCAGGAAAAAATGAATTGCCACAAAATTAAGAAATTACTCAAGAAATAACTAAGTTGGGTTTTCTTGGAGGTGTAAGATATGAGTAAAAAAGAAACGTCAAGTTTGTTGTGTCCGCGGTGGTTGGTCGCGAAGAAACGAAAGTGAAGAAAGACGAGCGTGAATTTGCGAGGAATAAATCCTGAGCAATCTGCGTACGTATCGTAGCCGAACTGGCTCAAAAGGTGCGCCTCGCGTACCGATATTGGTTGCAAATAAATGTAAGTTTATACGCTGGCCTTGTAGATACAAGGCAGGACGCCACACCCTTTGTTTCCTAATACGTTTTTTGCTGGCATGGTGCGGGGACGTATCTGGACAATATTACATACTATCAAATTCCCTTTCTTGGACGCGTCTGTTTTTTAAAAACTATCTCCGTCGGGGTCGTCGTGGCCGTCGGAGAAGAAGTCGCGTGGTCGCAAGGTCATCTGGTTTTGAACGCGACCGAGACGTTAAAAGCTCCCCCCAAACGGCCATTGCGTCATAAAAAGCCTCCCCTGTGCCGCATACCTCCGCAAAAAACCAAGTAGCCGGTACCGGGATTAGATTCTAGGTATAACTCATACTCTGTGTTATGAACTTTGCGGGTGGCGTGTTTGACACTGTCGTAAATCAAGAGAACGTTCAGGCAGACCTCCAACAAGGGGGACAGGGGGGCCCCGTATAACATGACCGCGGCCTTTTATGAAAACGACGCTCAAAAGAGGCGAGAAAAACGTACGCGCGTCAAAGCCCCCGCCGGAATTAATTTCCACGTCGACTTACGCGAAAATCACTAAGAAGATTCTGTTTCTTATTATGCTAAACGCTTTGTACACTTCTCTGGCCCTACCTGCGATTATTATTCACCATTACCGCCTTTTATTTACCCCTTCGGTATTCCTCTCTCGGATTACAAATACTCCTTATAATACTTACCCGCACCTTATTTACCAAAAGCTCAGCATTCTTCTCACACCATTATATCTTCTTGCTGTTCGACCATCTCGTATCTTTCAACCGATAAGAATTATCTGTATAAAAATAACTCATTTTAATTAACATTGCAAGTATGCAACTAATATCGCAAATCGCGTATTGTAATAACAATACTGTGATATTAGTTGCATACTTACGATAATTTATTAACACAGTGTACAACTCTTTATATTGAAAATATCCTCGTATAAGTTTTATAAGGTTGATAGTATTAATAGTAATGTGGAATTTGAGATGAAAAGAAAATATTATAATAATTATAGTCCTTGCATTCCATTGAGAGTTAACAACGAATTTACGAGAAAAAAATGCTAATATAAATAGATAAAAAATCAATACAGTAATAGTGTACATCGTATACTTTCACATTCAGCCTCGGTTTTATGAATTTAAAGCGTTGAAATTTTTAGTTGAACTTTACTCAAGCCGAAATGTCAAAGTTTATATTATTGTTTCGACATTTGCAACAACCGTGAACTGGTATTAACGCGCGCGTTTAACGATGCGACCCGCGAGTTTTGTGGAAATCCTTGGACCGTGTTATCCTCCTCTTCAACTCTTCACCTACGTCCTTTCGTGATAAACAACCGACTCTTTCTTTCTTTTGCAGAATCGGCCTGAACGGGTTCGATAATCCAATGCGAGATCAAAAAACATCCGAGTGCAAAAAGCATATTGGACACGTAAGTCCTTCGATTCGTCCGAAAATATGGTTTTCATTATTGACTATCCTTGACATTTTCTAGGGTGTCAAAATCAAGATGGACGATGCCGGAAATATTTTAATTAAGAGAGTTTCAAAGTGCAACATTTTTATTAAAAATACCGGTTTAAATGGCGAAAACGCCATCGGAAATGACGTACTTAAACTTCCCGCTTGCGCTTTAGAACCGGAAAAACCCTTCAAACTCTTTGATATGAAAAAGTTCCAAAGCAATATTAACAGAGAATTAAAAGTTGCTTATCCGGATAGAAGAAGATTGGAGTCGCAATGTTTGAGTGCGATTGCTTTTGTAAGAAACGAACAAGAACTATTGGAATGTCCTTTATGGGTTTTGATTATTAACGTTGTCGCTATTGATATGTTAAAATCTAAATTACCACCTGTGCAAAGAGTTATGGATATTAGAAATCGCCCCAGAATACCAATTCCCGATGAAGATCCTTATAGCGTTGCGGGAGTTGCTGGACGAAACATAGGAGGGTATCAAATGCCAAGGGAATCGCACTATGTTACTAATCAACCAAGAAGTGATAAACCACCGAAACTTCCTCCCAGAGAAAACATGTTTGGATCATCGCACGACATTCCAAAGGTATTAGAAAGTTAATATATACTAAAACTTAATATTTATTTTGATTTATTTATAGCCGGATTATGATGGGAATCCCCCCAACAACTCAAAACCAATCAATAAAATTCTTAAACCATTTTTATCATCAAGGAGAAAGGAAAAAACTAAAGACCAAAAAGATGGTAATATCAAAACAATTTTTCATTGACGATTTCATTGACAATTCTTTTTAGATGATCCTTATTATTGCGGATTACGCGCTCGAGTACCAAATTTCGTTTCTAAATCAAAAAAGGAATCTTCTAAAAAAGACTCGATTTCTTCAAAACGATTTTCGATCACTCATCAAGTCCCACCACAAATTCAAATACAACCATCGTTGGCACGTCATCATTTAACACCGTATCATCAACATCCAATGTGGCATGCAAGAAGTTTTGAAAGTGGAATTGGTATGATCTATATATTATAAATCATTTTAATTAATTTGATATAATAAAATAATTTTATTTAGACATGGATAGTATGGAATCTCCTTACAACCAGATTTATGGTAGATTACCGATTCCCACCAGAGGCTTTATTCCTAATCAACCACAAACGGCTTACGTCAGCGAATGGGATTAACACGACGAAAATGATGTTACAAAATAAATGAAATAAGCGAAGTTAATGACGTTAACGATAATTTAAGAAAGATATTACCTAAATATTACCTAAAAGATATGTATCATATATTTTTGTATTATATCTATAAATATTTTTATTATAATTACTGCAATATTAATTTATATGAAGAAAATATATTTGATGGTGATGGAATATTTTCGAGATTTTTTTTATTTCACTCCTTAAATATTTCGATGAGTATTCAGTTTGGTGCAAAAGCTTTGAAAAATAACTATATATATAAACAAAAATCTTTTATATTTTTATAGAATTGGCTTAAACGGATTCGACAACCCAATGAGGGACCAAAAAACGGACGAATTTAAAAGATTAATTGGACATGTAAGTCATATCAAATCAAAATTGGCCAATCATCACTTAGCATTGTTCCAGACAGTAATCTCTAAGGTCCCTAGTATACTTGTTTTGCCCATTCTCCAGCATCATTTTGCCCAACTCTCATTCTTCAATATCGTTCCTAACTTACTTCAAGATAAATCTGAACATCATTTGATATCATGTCTGATGTACCTCCCAGATATACTTAAACATCATCCTGGACAATCCTCAATGTCATCCCTGTCATTTCTCAACATTGTCATAATGCTGTAGTTATACATACTAATAATTAATATCAAAATTATATGTCATACTATGTCATATAATTTACTATGTCATACTAATATGTAACTTTTTTATAGGGTGTAAAAATAAAAATGGATGATGCAGGAAATATATTAATAAAAAGAGTATCAAAATCGAATGTTTACATAAAAAATACGGCACAAGATGAAGAAACAGCTGTAGGAAATGAAATCTTAAAAGTACCATTATGCGCTTTAGAAATGGAAAGACCAGTAAAATTATTTGATATGAAAAAATTTCAAACTAACGTTAATAGAGAATTGCGAAGGGCGTACCCGGATCGACGACGACTTGAATGTCAATGTTTAAGCGCTATAGCATTCGTTAAAAATGAATTGGAACTCCTGGAATGTCCAATTTGGGTGTTGATAATAAATGTGGTTGCGATGGATATGTTAAAAACGAAGTTACCTCCGGTTCAAAAAGTTATGGATATTAAAAATAGACCGAGGATTCCTATACCGGATGAAGATCCTTATAGCGTTGCTGGAAATGGAAGTGGTTCATCCGGAAGTTCAGGTTTTGCAACCGGTTCGGTTTCGGCAACTAGAGAGCAACTTTTGCTTCAATCCCAACAAAATGCACAACGAAGAAATGAGAAACCTCCGAAATTACCGCCAAGAGAAAACATTTATCATCATAACATCCCTAAACCGGATTATGACGAAGAAGAAAAAACCAAACCATTTGCTTCGACGAGAAATACCCACAAACATAAAGATGATGGTAAATACGATGATCCTTATTATTGTGGATTGAGAGCGAGGGTTCCAAATTTTGTTTCAAAATCGAAAGCTAAAGAGACCAAGTCTAAAGATACGGTCACATCTAAACGGTATTCGATGACTCAACAACCCACATCTTTGCCAAATTTGATGCAACAACAACATCATATGATACAACAACAATTACATCAACACCCAATGTGGCATAGAGGAAATTTTGAAAACGGTATTATTATTATTATGTTATTTAGTTGTATTTTATAAATATTTTTTGTAGAATCTGATAACGTGGAGTCACCTTACAACCAAATTTATGGAAGGTTACCAATCCCCACTCGAGGATATATACCAAATCAACCGAGAACTATGTACATTGGCGAATGGGATTAAGTGATTATTTATATTTTTTGTTGTTCTTCTTTTTTTGTATTATATTTTCGTAGGGTAACCCATTTTAAGTCATTTAGTTTAAGCACTCCCTTAGAAATATTATTGTAAAATCCATGTATATTAAAAAAATTAATTAATATTTATATGGAAATTATCTAGGTGATGGTGATGTAAACATTATTGTATTATCAATAAAGTTTAAATGGATGTTAAATGTTTTATTTCAGAAATTTAGGAATTAAAATGAAAGAATTGAAATATTGGTTGCCTACTTATGAATACTTTTTATGAGTAAGAAGAGTTGCCTATTTTATTATAAAAAAGAGCAGTATATATTTTAATTAGTATTTTAAAATTGTTATTTATTTATTTTTTTTAATCTTAATATAATTTATATATATATATATATATATATGTGTGTGTGGGTGTGTAATTTAGATTTCTATCGTAAATATCTTTCGCTCTCGGTAGGTGTCACTGGAGACCAATTCACCTCCTAGTACTAATTCGATAGGTTTTCAAGGGTATTATAACTGATCTTCGCTTCGTTACCGGTGACCTGGATAAGGTTGATTCCTCTAATTACGTTTCCGTTATTAAGAAGCTTGTCTACGGCGATGTGGATCTCTGGAGTATTGAGTTTTGGAGGGGAAACGGTCCCGTTTGGGGGATTGAAAACGGATAAAAATGCTTTCAGCCGTTAATTTGCATACTTGCATAAAGTTCAAGTAAAATCACGGTTACGTAGATATTGGTAGGAAATTTATCGTAGGTGCAGCGGAAGAAAAGAGGGCTCGGAAACCGTGGCAGTAAGCAAAATATATATCGCGATCACCACTGCGATTTCTAACTCCGGTTGAAATATACATAGAGTTTAAAATGAGATTTATGAACGCGGATGTTAACGCTTTTGACCGAAAGTAACAACTCGTATACGTTTGGATTAACAATCAACTCATCGCTACGATTTTTTAAATTCATGTTGTTTTAAAATTATCTTAATAGTTTAAGTTATTCTTAACTGGGATATTTGGTGGAAATATTTTTACTGTGTTTGGAGTAAATGTTTGTCTGAATTTTGCAACGATGCAATAAATGAGAAGTTGGAAATGCTGTAAAGGTAACTAATGAATTTTCTTCGAGCGAAGCGATTTCAGTAATTTCCGGGACAAAATCGGGCAAGTTTTTCGAGACGAGCGGAAAAATGGATCGCGAAGTATTGCCGAGTCGACCGGGGGGAGAAAAAAGAACAGTACGTCATTAAAATCCGAGGCGAAATTCTACTAAGTTCGTTCTGAGGATTGTAAACCGCGTGTGTGTGATTTCTTTCGTGCTCCTTGTTCTTCAAGTTTTTCAAGTTTCTAAATTTTAAATTCGACGAGAACAGATTGTTTAAGCTTGAAAGCTTCGAACAGAAATTCGGGTGCAAGTTGCGTCCCTTGGGAGGTCTTGACATCTGAATTGTCCAAACATATTAATTGTGCCATTGTAGTTAATTGGTTTCGTTAGCTTAAAATCGTTTCCGACTAATGCTAACGAGCACAGGTGCAGATCTGACGATACCATCCCGTATTCACGTTGGAAATCTATATCTCGGCACGATCAAATCGCTGGTTAGTCACTTAAAACTTAAGAAAAGTTTATTCAAGTTTGGTCACAGAAAGTCCATCAATGGAACTACCTTTATAGACGTTCAAGTTTCTTCGCTGAGAATAAGAAATGGGGTTTTTAATAATTTCGATCACCAGATGGCTGTAAATACCGTTTAATTTTTAAGGAAGCCGCGAATGGGAAATACGCGTTTATTTATAATTTATACTTTTGTGTGTACAATGAAATTCGAGGCGGCACGTCTAAGAAGCTCTTCTTACCCGTACGATCGATGCGACTCACTTTTGAAGGCCCCTTCTGAATTTATATATTCCTTTAGAAGTTTTACTCTAATCCCAGTTCCGCAAAAAAGGCCCGCGAAACTGTTGGTACTTTAATATTTTAATAAAAGCGCCCGCGTGCAAAACATATTTGCTGGGTAACTTTAAAAGTAAAATGCTCGCAGGTACTGCCGCTAAAACAAATTTTTTGCTACTTCCGGTCGCGGCGGAAGTGCTTCGTTGCTGCATTTTAAACGCGGAACTGGGTGTATGAAAATAAACCCTTGCATTTTATGTAAATTTAAAGGCGACTCACAACAATAACACCCGCGTCCAATCTTTTTTCTTCCTTTTCTTTCACCCCTATCTTTCCCTATCCTTGCGGCGGATCCTAAGGAGATTAACGAAAATCCCGCAATCCCAGCCGATATATCGGATAGCGCTCGATCACGTGTACTCAACCGTAGATCTGGGTGTTGGTGCACCTGTTATCCAATGCATCAATCTACATGTGCCGCTATATCAATACCAGACGGTTGTGCAACAACCCCCAACATGTTTGTTTATGAAGTGATGCCTGGCGACGTCATTTTACATTCTAAACGTGCACTTCCTGAAACGCAAACCTGGACGTAATTAGTTTACCTAACGTGGACTTCCTAAAAAGTGTAACTAATAAAACTTCTACTAATTACTCCACGTTGACTAACTAACCCCTGTATCAAAATTACCCCCGTTATTAATACTGCTATGTTGATTTTTCACATCATTTTAATTTATATAAAAAAACGATTCATCGATTAAAAAGTTTATGAATAAATACTGATAATTTCATATCTATTTTTTAAAAATAACCGATGAAAATCGAAAAATGATAAAAAACATAAAATTATTTTTCGCAAAAACTAAAAATTATATTTAATATAATTTATTTATAAATTATATTATTTCTAAATATTTACGATTTTTTAAAAATTACACAGAAATATTAAAAAAGGTATAAAAAGTATTATGGTGTTTAATAATTTTTTTCTCAAAAACTAAAAACAACGGTATTTATGAAAAAAAAAAATTATTAAATCACAATTAAATATACCTTAAAATGCTCGCTATTTATTATTAATCTATTTTTTTATTTTTTGATTCTTATTAAGAAAATGAAGTAATTTTTAATATTTATTTAATTATTCTTTGATAAATTTTTGTAATAAATACTTAATAAAAATTTTATTCAAAATTGTTATTTAAACCACACAATATTTTTATTATTTTTACGTATTCAGTGAAAATTGATTGAATAAAATCTGTATTTCAAATGTTATCCATAAATATTTTTCCCATAATTGAATTAAGTGTAAATATTTACCAATAATCCTTTCAATACCTTTTAGAGGTTTTTATTAAATAAAAACTGTTTGATTATATAATAAAATTTGATGTATTTTAAAATTGTGCTAGAAAAATATATCGTAAATCTGTGTAAAATTTATTGCAACCTAGTAAGTCAGTCAAATCGATAGGTACACGCGACAAATTTCCGTAATGTTTCAATTAATATCGGAACGGAATTTAATTTCAATCTGTATCCCTTTATTTTGATAGCGTTGGTTTTGAAAAAAAAACGGCGGATAAAATAAAGCGACCGAGTTAAAAAAAAAGCAAATTTGTGTTGAGAGTGCGTAATAAATATTCCATTGTGCCGATGAACGCGTACAGAGAATATTTCGTCGGGCGTGCGTTGTTTGTATTGCTTTATTTGTACGGGACAGCGAAATATTGTAATAACTCAGCCGTTAGTGTTTGCTCGTACAGTGTAGTTTTAATATTCAAATTTCGAATACGCACCTTCCAACAAGTAAAAGATTATGTAAAACCCGTTTTAAAAATTGCACGCTTGAGTAATAAACCGTGAATTTTATAAAAAAAAAATTACGAAATAAGCGCCATGTGGTAAAAAATAATTTATTGGTCCCGAATAAAATGTAATCCACGAATTTCGTATAATTTGGTATAAAATTTGATGCTACAATAAAACCGGTTCCTACCGGAACGCGTGGGCCTTAAAAAGGCCGATTCCAGGCAACAGGTTTTAAGTGTGGCCTTATAAAAAAACGGATGACAGCGGAGTTAGTTGGCCATTATTTGGGGAATTAGTCTTGACGGTGGTTATGTTAGTGGGAAAATGTTATTTGCCATAGAAACGCGTGCGCTACGGTGTCTTGGGGCAGGTGGCGCTCGTGCATCCCTGCATCCAGGATCAACCCCCACTGCCGTCTACCCCAAAGCTCAGTCGTGCTCTCCACATCGAATCGGGCGGACGCTGACACTCTCTGCGGAAAATCGCGCGCTTTCTCGTTCATCGAGGAACTTCCGCATCCTGGACGGAGAGAACTTCATATCTAAGATGTAGATCCTATCACCGAGGTCCTTGGCAGGCGCGGACCAACCACAGACAAGATGAGACTATTTTTGGTGATGATCTTTTTGGTATACAACTCGAACGCCGTTGATAAAATTGTGGACCAAGTTAGTATAAGACATGGCAGGTCACGCAGTAAGTTGCTAAGGGCCGGGAAACACGGGGACGATTTCTATCTTGTGCAGAATCCCACTTTGGATCCAACAGTGGAAAATGTTTCTTCGGTGGCCGAAACTTCGACGACCGAGCCAACCAAAAGTGGCGGCAGTCGAGGGATTAAGTACAAGACGAAGAACAGGAGGATCACGGTTGATGGTAACAATACCTGGCAGTACATGGACAAGAGTTTCATGTACATGGGGGACAAAGCTTTAGATAAAAACGATCCGTCACGCGGCAAAAAGAAGTTGGAGGAGGCGGCGGAGGAAGAGGACGATGACTTCGGAACTCCAAATCCCTTCGCCGAAGACAAACTGGAGGAGGTGAGGGAGAAAATTCTACAGGAAACAGGAGGCAAAAGCGGCAAAAGACTTGATATCGTTACACATTTCTTACGCATCGTGGAGTCTTCCCAGCATTTGTTGGGGGAAAATTGCACTGCCGGCACTGATCTAAACTTGGGCGAAGGAGTTGTCGATAGGTATGCACAAGAGCGATTTAGAGTTGAAGCCGACGTTGCAGTAAATAGAGCTAATATGCTTACTCGCTTATGGAAATATTCGGATCCCGCCGTCGTTTCCTCCGAATATTTACTGCATGCTTCCGTTTTCTCTATGGTCGAATTTGATGACGACATCTTCGCCGCCGGCAACTGTTACGACCAGTACCAGTATAAAGATTATTGGCTATTCTGCCCTTATGCCTACCGCCTCCCGGAAGGGACCATCCTCGTCAAGGACCTCGCCGTCGAATACAAGTATCTCAGCAATACTTCAGAATGGTTTTATATCGCGAGGAAGAACGCCGAGAACGTCATCAGGAATTACAACCAGTTCAGCAGAGGCAAGTATCTTTCTTTTTTAAGATTACCTCTTTTCTTTCATTTCATCGTTATACGCGAATGCAGCAAACCGGAAATCATTTTTATAAAGACCGGCTTCGTGCACACTTCAATTATATTTACCTAGTTTCCAACAACGAAACGTTATATATAAATATTTAAAATATAAATTCTACAGTACTCAAAACATAAAATATTTAAATATAAAAATATTTTATAGAACCATTTAAACTTTTATTGTTAATTACCTGAATTGTCTTTGAAAACAGTTGCAACTAATTTTGTTCCTCTGAAACCTTTGTATTTTCACGTGCTTCTTTAGAATTCAACGTAATTCAAGACGTCCGTCGAAGCGTACCAAAACCATAATTGTTGGCAACCTTCTCTGAAACCTGCAGGCCATTCGCAGGCAGAGAGAGAAAAATTCCGGCAATTATACGTAGATCCCAGTAATTAGCCCTAACAGAATTTTCTTAATGGTCTTGGTCTTATTTATTTTTGCTTGAAATTCCGGGAGCGGTTGCTCGGAATTGCAAATTTCCAACTCGTTTACCGAACGACTTTTTGACACAAGCTAAATAAGCTACTTCGCCGATAAACTGTTTTAATACCGTAAACTTTTAACTCATCCCGAATACGTCGCGTGCACTTTAATTAAATCGTCGAAATTTAATTTTCCTTTACCCAACCACCATTTACGTAGCAACCGATGATGGCTCACATTTTATCTCCTTTTATATAGATATTAGATATTTATTCTTAATCCTGCATCATATTTTAAGCGTTATCATTTTAAGAAAATTTTTTGGAAATTTTCTGCCACTTTTTCTGACAAACAGATTTTTCTAAAAAAAATTTATATCATATCCTATTATTTCTATGCGAGATTTAAAAATAGAGTTTCTTACCTTTATTTTAAGGTATAAATCATTTCTTATCTCTTCAAAATAAGGTTGAGGTGTTTTTTTAAATTATCACTTTTTCTGGCAACCTAAAATTAATAGATTTCCTTATAAGTTATCTTTTGGGAATCTTTTTATATCAAATCCTATTACCTCCATACCACTTATAAATAGAGCTTTTAGTTTTAATTTAAGATATAAATCATTTTTTAACTCCTCGCAATAAGAACGATGTGATTTATTAATTCCACTTCCTCTGACATTCCAAATTAATAATTTTTTTAAGCTTTTTGTATCAAATCGTATTTTTAAAAAAATCTTCGAGAAATAATAAAGAATTCTCCCGTTAATCGCTTCTTTCTTGCTCTCGTTTCATTCGTCTGCGTGATCACTTCAAGGAATTGTTGAAATTAGTTAGTTCTTAAGACTTTATTTTTACGGTTGGCGAACGAATTAAAGTGTCTATCAATCAGGGTAGTTCATAGTACCGGAAATCCGTACCTTGAGTAGGAAACGGATACGATTACGTGTTCATTATGACGCGCACACACACGTGCATTCAATTACACGTGTTCGAGCGGTCGGCTACGTGCGCGATTGGAGTCCTTCAGAGTTAGTAAAGTTACGTCATATCTGACGATGGTATGTATCAACCGTAATGAATACAAAAAATTCAATTAACCGGTTTCTAAAGTAATTGTATCATCATCAGGATGATTTTAGTTTTACTCGTACATGAAAAACATTGTTTTAGGTAGTGGTTCTTTTAAAATAGGAAACGTGAAAAAGTGGCGTTTGGAAAACTAATAACGTCGAACGTTTGGGGTAATGAAACGACGTCGTTTCTCGTTAGGTTTTGAACGGCGATAACGCAAAAGGAAGATTGGGCAGTAAATTTCGTGTAAAATCAATTAAAATTGAAAAACATGGGGAATGTTATGTATCTGGGTTCTCGTAAAAATGTGTCGTTTATCATTCGAAGGGGGCCAAATTCGTGGTGCACTTATCGGAAGAGGGAGATGCCTTTACTAATTTCCGGCAGGATCGTCTGATATCGGGCCAGAACTGGAACGCGGGATGTACTGGCAAGTCTGGACCAGTACGTATGGTTTTAATTAACCCCGACTGCATTCCCAGAGCTCTATTTTTTCTCGTCCGCTCTAGAATTGTTCTGCCATGAAATTGGGATCCCATACATCACTTCCCTAAGATTGGACGCGCGAGACGTCCAATTCCGTTTCTTCCCGCAAACACAATTACTCGGCAAAAAGTCCCAGGCGCCCCCCGGTGCCAATAACTTTAACATTTGAATGGCAGAAAATGCACCAGTCCCTTGGGATTGCTGCTTTGTTTCCGCGCCACTTGAAGACGTTTCCCAAACGACGTGACTCAGCGCTCTTAAAATTTCGTTAGTATTTTTTTCATCGATTTCCACTTCGCCCCAAAGTTTCAAAGCTCTCGCTCTCCCTTCGAACCACCGCTATCAATAGCTAAAGATACTTTGATAAACGGTAACGCATAAACGTCACATGGATTTCCCCATATCTGTCACACGAATGAGCCAAGAACTATAAGATATTTCATTTTTTATCTTTTCGAATGGGGATGGATATGGCGAATGTTCAGGATTTCTTTCAACACGCCTTCCGTTTAAATTTCCCCGGAACCGATTTCGAGATATGTTATGTTACAATTTGTAAGAAATGGTGGATGCGCCGGATTTATTTATGATTTATGTGTTACTTTATATATATCTTTTTATTGTAGTTTTTAAAACAATGTTATCGAAGATACAAATTGCAAAAACGGTTTGAGTTTATTAGACTTTCTTAATAGAATAAAATAGTTGAAATCGCATTACCGACCAGTCGAGTCGGCTTTAATAGTATTAATTTTCCAAGTTTTCAAACCGTAAAAAGCAAATTTAAAAATAAACATAAAAATACTGAGAGCTTTTATTTAGTGCTATCTTTAAATAGAACATAAAAAAATATGGTAAAGATTTCGCGTTATATATGGATTTTTTCTCCCCTTCAAAAAAACATCTTTTTACATGCAGATTCTTTGTGGGAGATGAGCGCTTCTTAAAACTTCGTTACTATTTTTTCATCGATCCCTTCGTTTCTGTCAAAGTTTGAACCTAACGCGCGAAGCGAACCTATCTATCAATAACAAAAGGTATTTTGATAAACGATATCGTATAAATGTCACATATATTTCCCGGTATCTATTACACGGATATTGCAAAAAAATAGAAAGGGCTTTTTCTTTGTCAACGCGATGACAGTAGTCTTTATTTGGATACACCGTTTAAAAAATACCGAACACAATCAAAACACAACAGTTTGATTCATCGAACCCTGCAGCTACGTTTGAGATAAAGCGGACACTCTCACGGTCCCACGGGTGTGTACTAGAAGTATCTAGAGCACCAGGCACTGTTTCTGTTTGTTTGCACAATCCCACCGCGTTTCAATTATCCATCTAAACAGAGTACATTGTATCACCCTCTAATTGTTGCTTTAGTCTCTAAAGGCGTATAGTTAGTTCCTCTTCCAAAATATTTTTCTTTAAAACAATTACGTTTTCGAATTAGTTGTACAACATAATGGCTACAATTTAAACCAATATATATAATTTAATTATTATATAATACAATTATTCCTGAATGACGTCTAAAAAATTATTGAGATTGAATTAAAACATATTCCAGCATAAAGTGTCAAGTTTTGGCGGTTAAGATATCTCGGATACGGAGTTATACAGGGTGTCCCGTTAAGCGTACGGAGCGGCTGTATCTCAACAACGGTAAGGCCTAGAGGTTTGGGAAAAAAAGAAACTTAGACGATGAGCTATAACTTTGACACCATCATTTAATAGCTTGGATAATACCGCATCGCTTTTGTTTTTCAATATTTTTCATATCTGTCATAATAAGGGAGGGGGAAGCCAATGCGTTTTCAAATGTTTACATTTTAATATCTCCTGGACCATTTAACCGATTTGAATATTTTTGGTCTTGTTTGAAAGAGCATTTCATGCTCTTTTAAAAGATATTTTCAGTAAGACCGCTTGGTTTAAAACAAATAAGCTAGAGGGCGTTATCTGCAGCGGTTACATATTTTTGTGATTTTTGAAAAAAAGTTAAATGGAACGGTACTATTTACTTCACAGACCGTTAATCACCATAAAATTTGCTAAATATTAGTGAAAACCGCATCTCGATATCTCCATCCATTCTCGAATTATAAAAGAAAATGTTAAAAATTCGTATATCTTAATCGGATCAAGTTACCTTAGGAAACAAATAAGAGAGAACAAAAATTTTATTATCTAGAACCTTCCTTCACACTTTATCCAAGCTTAGAACTGCTTCAAAACTACTTTTGAGGCGTGTTGAAAAGCCAACGGATCAATGAAACATCAACAATGATAATAAAACAAAATAAACCAAAACACTTAGAATAACTTAAATTTTTGGCAAAAATAACTCACTAATGTGCGAAATGCCTTCCATAAACCTCGATGCATTTATTTAATCTAGTTTCGACGAAAAAAAAGCGCTGCTTAAGTCTCGGCCCTGGACACGTTTCTACTGGTATTTAGTGTTTTGTCATATTTTCCCTGGTTATTGGTTTTTCTTGAAAAGTCAGGTCGTTTAGTCTACCCAATAGATAAAGGGGTGAAAGCAATGTGGGTTTTGCTCGAACCAAGAATGCATATTATGCAAGTTTACATCAGCTTGTGGACAGATGCTTCATGCATCCATAGCATTTGTGATAAAAGGTTTGGATTTGCCCAAATCATATTTAAAAGTCAATGGTAATAGTTCAGTCTGTTATCATAATCGGTATCTGTTAAGGCCTGATGTAAAACAACGTGGTGGAGATATTATTCTCTTGAGAACTCTTGTGGACAATTGTTTTCGGAGTTCCCAGATTATGTGGGATCACATTGCGCACCAATATGATTTACGAATTCATAGAGATGTCTGAATGGGCTACACGTTGCCAGTTTTCCGTAATCGCTAAGTCAATCTTAAAAACACTTCTAGAGAAAAATGTCTTTCTTTGTCGTAATTGCATTGCACATTTTTGCCA